TTTTTTTTAACAAACTCAATTCAAATCTAAACAAATCTAATTAATCAAAAGACTATCGGATTATACAAAAATAATAATTAGAATGATTTTCAAGTTGTCATGATTAGAATATATATATATTATAATTTGTTTTTTTTACACAAATTTCATTATTATGAAAGATATGAATGTCACATTTGTCTAAGGGCCCAATTGAGTTTAACTTGAAAGAGATAATGGAATGTGAGTACTTTTTTTCAAAAAAATTTTGGTTTTAAGTACCACTTTCAAACTTATCCTCTTTTAAGTTCTTTTTCTCATCAAATAGCTGTTAATAAGTACACATTTTAAAATATTTTTAAATTCTTTCTAAAATTCATTCCATAATTACTCCTACCATAAATCGTGCATACCTAATTGACAACTTTTATATTTCTAATATCTAAATATTAAAATGTAAGATTTTCAAGATTTTTTTTGATATTTGTGTATCATTTGAAACACACACACATAATAATATCAAACAATAACACGTTCAACAAAAAAATAGTAACATTAAATAGTAACACGCTCAATAAAAAAATAGTAACATCAAACAATAGTTTAGTTGTCACTCTTTACTGACATTATTTGGGCACTATCAAGGGGGTATTACATTATGCCATTGATTGGAACCTCATTGTCGTTATCTCGTGTCTCTCTTTGATGACACTTTTTTCATGACAATTTTTCGAGTCCCTCTTTAGGTGCAACTCTTTGAGTGGACAAATATATATTGTCATCATTTATGGTCAATCTATTGTTGTCACTTTTTACTGATATTATTAAAGAGGCATTACATGATACTATTGATTGGACCCTCATTATCAATATCTCGTGTCTCTTTTTGGGGACACTGTTTGCATGACAATTTTTTGAGTCCCTCTTTAAGTGCAACTCTTTGAGTGGGCAAATATATATTATCATCATTTAGGGTCAATCTATTGTTGTCACTTTTTACTGACACTACTTGAGCACTATCAAGGGTGTATTACATGATGTCATTGATTGTATTTTCATTGTCATTATCTCGTGTCTCTCTTTGATGATACTATTTGCATGACACTTTTTTGAATTCCTCTTTAAGTGCAACTATTTGAGTGGACAAACATATATTGCCATCATTTATGATCAATCTATCGTTGTCACTCTTTACGTGTGTGTGTGTGTGTGTGTGTGTATATATATATAAAATTTCAAAATTCAAATGATATATAAATATCAAAAAGAATCTTGAAATTCTCACATTTTAATTTTGAAAATTTCAAATTTAATTAGGTATGCATTATTTATGGCATGGGTAAAAAGGCATTTATGACTTTGTATTAGTAGATGTATTTCTATTCCAATAATTTTAAAAAGTGTACTTTTATCCTATTAAATTTTTAGGGAGGTACCGGCCTCCCTAAGCCCCTAATTGAAATGGATTGAGACCCTTCATATTAGATCTAAGCATTTCAAAAAAAAAATTGACTATAATTAAACTTGAGTCTAAAAAATTTTATTTGTAGCTCATAAGATAAAATTAGGGTTAATAATTGAGTCAAACTACTCGGATTCGACTCGAATAGAATATGAGCCGAGTTTAAATATTTTTTTAAACCCGTTTAAAAAATAATAAATTTTTTTTTTGATTCATTTATATGTAAAATAGTTAAATTATTTGGGCTCATTTTGGACTCGACTTATTTTTTAAACGAACTAAATTTAAACAATTTTTTAAACTCATTTAGAAAAACGAATTCGACTGACTCGACTCGATCATCAGATAAATAATCAAATTGAACCTATGCCTAAAAATTTTATTTCGGGCCTTAAATTTTTTAAGACTCTAGGCAGCCACTTTAACAACCTAGCCTATGAGCAGGCTATGGATCTGAGTGACACGTCTAAATCACATCTATATAATAAATTAGTTAAATTATTTGTCTTGAATTTTTCGCGATTCAAATTATTTTGATCTGATTGTCCTAATTAAATTTTTATTTCTTTTACAACTCTAAAACTCTTATATCTCATATAACTCTCTCTCTCATAATTAAGTGGGTGTGACAAATATTTTATTTAAGATAAACAAAACTGATTGAGAGAGAAAGAGATTAAATAATTGGAAGGATTAGAAGATTAAAAAAATATTTAATCTTTTCTGCGCCACGGCACACTACATATCTGTGACAGTACATAAAAACTTCCAAAAGGTTTGCTGTTAGCTTTTTATTAAGTGGGAGACAAGACATGGATTACATTAGATAATTGTTATGCTTCCTCTTTGCGAAATTTTATTTGCATATAGAAGAAGGAAAAGTCCAACATAAATTGGGGTCTAAAGCAAAAAATTCAAATGAGATCAGATCAATTTTTAGCATGATAATATAATGATATTATATTTATGTGAAAATTATTTTTTATTTTTTTAAGATGTTATAGTACAAATTGTATATTTATATTAAAGTTTTGTTGATATATCTTTTTCAATAAAAAAATATTAGTAAAAAATATTATCTTTTTTAAAGGTAAGATAAAGATGCATTGGATTCTAAAAAATTATAAACAACAATAACTAGACCTAATATCATATGCTCACGTACTGTTTTATGTTGTCATTAACAATTGAGTTTTTTTTTTTTAATAAACTCAATTCAAATCTAAACAAATTTAATTAATCAAAAGATAGAATTATGACTAATAATTAAGTTGAGCTACTCAGGCTCGACTCGAATAAAACACGAGCTAACCTTAAATTTTTTTTTATACTATTTTAGAAAATAAGACTAATTTATATGTAAAATAGTCAACCTACTCAAGTTCATGTTAAACTCGACTTATTTTCTAAACAAACTGATTTTGAACAATTATTTAAATTCATTTGAAAAAACAAGCTCGACAAATTCTACTCGATTAAAACAATTACACAAATTTGGAAGAGCACCATGATGGCATCACAGTGTTACCATACCAAAATTTATCACGATAAATCTTATATTAATTTATTTGTGATAGTTGATTTTAAAAATAATAAAAATATATAAAATTTACACTTGTCATGTTTTGATCGGCAAAAAATAGGAGGCACAACACCAAAACATTATCCCACAAATTTGAATCCACAAGGAAGAATTATTATTATTATTTTTTGGATTCAATGATTAAGAGTGATTAGGCTAACTTACACACATTTTGACTAATTTCATCTTCAGTTCAATCAAAGGCAAACTATCTACGTTAGAACTAGGATATTCATGAGAGATAAATCCTTCATGATTTGACCTCAAAGAATTGTTAAGATTTAAACTCATGACGTCTGAATTTATAATTAATCTATCTGAATTTATAATTAATCTATCTGAATTTATAATTAATCTATGTTATTACTTGGGCTACCCCTTATCCAATTAAACCTTGGAATCACAAAAAAAAAAAAAAAACAAAGAGAAAAGATTATGAAATATTATAGAAAGATAACTGAGATATTATTTGGAAAATGAAAAACAGTGTTGGAATAGACAGCTGATCATTTTAGAATAAAACAGAATATTCCCTGTAAAATTCTGATTCTATAAAAATAAAAAATGATTAAGATACACTTAATCTGTCCTACATAACTTTGCCTAATAAAGCTTGCATACACAATAATGCATTGGCCAATCACAGCAATAAATGAACTTTGTGAAAGTATGAGACGGATGGCATTTTTTGTTTACAATTGCAGTTTAAAATCACTCTCTCTCTCTCTCCTTTAATTTCCAGCCACTAAGATATATCTTTCTAAAAGTTGTCCCCAGTGCACAAAACTCCCGTTATTGTGGAGTCTAAAAAAGGTTAGATGTACACAGTCTTATCTCTGCATGCAGAAAAATAATTTTCGTGACTCGAATATGTGATCTCCACGTCACAATGAAACAATTTTACCGCTACGCCAAACCTGCCCTCACTAAGATATATCTATCTATAACATATTTATGTTGTGGCCATAAAAGGAGCATCATGTTTTGGGCTTCTGGACTCAAAAGTCTGTTGGGAAAGTTAAAACATATTAGGATCTCGAGTAAAATTTGGATTAGGATTGATCATTCATTGCACTATATTGAATTCTTAATAAAGATATAATTATGAATGTGACTTCTTATGGGTTGATACCTAATAGCCCTGAAAGTCATAACAACGTCAAACAACATTACAGATCATGCATTTATTGTGCTCTGATGAGAATAAATTGAACAAGATAAGTTAGAGATCAAACGTAGGGCGATGACAAACGTTCAAGCAAATATACTACGGGTTTAAATCCGAGAATCACCCTCTGCAGAATTCTCTACCCTGCAAACACAACATAAACGTACACATGAGATGGCACAAATAAGGAATGCATTACAGCAGAAGCACATAATATGTTTTCTAGGATAGCTAGCAAAATATCATGTGAAATGACTAAAATGCCCCCAACACGTATTTCAAGACCTGCTTCATTGTGTATCGAAGGTAGAGGATTTCCATGAACAAAGCAAGTTCAACTTGTAAAACTTGGTCTGAAATCAAGCAGATAGTGGAATACACTTAATGGCTAATGCAGCCATGACAACACAAGTAAAAGTGGCAACAACCAACCAGCCTGATCCCAGAAGGCTAGACTAGAACCTCCTGTGGTTGACCTTTTTAGATTCGGTATTTGACCAATTAAAACCCACCGAGCATTGTTTTGATTCGACATGAACAGGTACGCGACGGTGATACCATGTTCAAATGATGACGTGGTATAGACGTAGCAAATATGTTTACTCAAGTAGCAGAGGGATTTGATACTTTATGATGAAAATGCCACTGATTGTAATCTTTAATTCCATTCAGTTACACAGTGGTGTCATTAGGCTTCATAATGACACACCATCTATATAAAAGCAGGTCAGGCTGCTATATTACTTCCTCACAAGTTTCTTGCAGTAACACACAGGCACACACACACAAGCAGAGGAACCTACAGAGAAATGGACAACAATCATTTTTTTAACAGAGCAAAGCCATATTTGGCTGTAATTTTCTTGCAGTTTGGCTCTGCTGGTACAGCTATAATAGCCAAGTCTGCTCTAAATCAAGGAATGAGCCATTATACCTTTGCAGTCTATCGAAGTGCCATTGCCACTGCTGTCTTTGCTCCTTTTGCCATAATCTTGGAAAGGTCTATCTCAACTCTTTGCTTTGTGTCATGCATGCGTGTCTACATGAAAACATGAACTAATCACCATTCTATTACTTAACAGGAAGGTAAGGCCAAGAATGACCACCTCCATTTTCTTGAAGATAATGTTGCTCGGATTGTTAGAGTATATACCTTAATCTCTATCTTTCCTCTCATGGATCCCAGTATAGGTATAACTCTGTTTGTCTAACTAAGACCTTGCACAGGCCCGTTATCGACCAGAATCTGTACTATACCGGGTTGAAGTATACCACAGCAACTTTTGCATCAGCAATGTGCAACATTCTTCCTGCCATAACTTTTTTAATGGCTTGGATTCTAAGGTAACGACATGATCACAAACATAAATACATGAATATGCATAAACACATGCATGCACACAAGTAAGAGATACTCTAGTACAAAGAACAGATTGTCATTACATTTATGTGAATTATAATGGGGTGATTTTGGTGGTGGCCGAGTTTTCAGGCTTGAGCGGGTAGATATTAGGAGATTACACAGCCAGGCAAAAATAGTAGGGACACTGGTGACCGTCAGTGGAGCGATGATTATGACACTGATTGAAGGTCCCTCGGTTAGATTTCCATGGACCAAACACAAAATCCATGAGCAATCTACAAGTGCTACAAATCAGCAAGATTCGATTAAGGGCGCCCTCATGATAATGTCAGGATGTTTCTGCTGGGCATGTTTTTACATCCTTCAAGTAAGAGATTCCCACACCCACAACTATCTTTTACACATTTATTCAGTGGAATTGTTTTAATTTGACCATATAAAGTCCAATTGTTTTAGTATCATCATACTTTGTGCTTATAATCTCCTATATCATAATAATCAGAACATAACATTGCCTGTTTCTGTAGGCAATTACGTTGAAATCTTACCCTGCCGTACTCTCCCTCACATCTCTGACATGCATGATGGGGGCATTGCAAGGCACTATTCTCACCCTTGTTCTTGAAAGGGGCAAAACCACAATCTGGTCCATTCAATGGGATACAAAATTATTGGCTGCTCTTTATAGTGTAAGAAGCTCTCAACCCAACTTTTGTTGGCAGGGTGGGCACTTATAATACCTCCTATAAGTGATATGTATTGGAAATGCCAATAACCTAACAGCTACCAATAAATAAAAAAATAAAGTGATACATGATGCGAGTATCGTGCACCAAAACATATAGATGTGTACACACACACACACACCTATCACAATTCACAAGTTAACATAAGATTCTGCATTTATACTCATGGATGGTATTTGGATGCAGGGCATTATCAGTTCAGGGGTAATGTATTATGTTTCAGGAACAATAGTGAAGGAAAAGGGACCGGTTTTTGTAACAGTCTTTAATCCTCTAAGCATGGTTATCATAGCAATTATGGGCTCCTTCATTTTCGCAGAGCAGATGGACTTGGGAAAGTATGTGCAATTTGTTATTCTTCCTCTAGTACAAGCCCCCGCCCCCCACCCCCCCTCCTCTCTTTCCCTCTCGTTTTCTCTTCTTTTTGGGGGGAAATTTGCTACAAGCACAAAAACAGCAGGAAGAAAAAAAAATATATTTCAAAATTCACTGGCAAAAATGTTGAGAATTATAGATGTTGTTCAACAATTTTATAAACAAAGCTAACAGAAGTCACTGAATTCTGATTTGCAGGGTCCTTGGAGCAGTCACCATAGTTGCTGGTCTATACATGGTCATATGGGGTAAGAGCAAGGATAAAAGTGTATCCAAGTTGGAAGAAAGCATATCTAAGTTAGATGGTGATCGGATAACGCCAACTGACAAACAATTGGATACATGGGATGATGGTAAGAAGACTTCATATCATGAGTCTGTTGACGGTTCTGACGCAATTCCTCCCCATGAAGCTGTGTGAGAGAATTGTCCTTTAAATGCTAACAACTTATCTTTCTAATGAGAAACATGGATCCATAATGGTTTCACCGATAGCAAACTAGAAGAGATGTCCATTGTTATAATATCATTTAATATAACCTTATAAAAAAAGAAAAGGATGGGTTGGACAATAAACTAAGTACAACAAAACTTTTTGTATAGTAAGTTGAATGACCTGCCAATCTTTCCCAAGTTCCCACTTGTGTAGTGCAACAAAAAAGCAGTGACACAGAGCAAATGTAGTGCTCTCTGATGGAGCATGCAACTGCATTCGTGGCCACTTATCCACATAGCTTCCCAGAGAGGGGAAGTTCTTGGAATCATATGATACACATACACCATAAATAAATAAATCTTTAAATGACACTCCTATAGTTCGGATCAATTTCAAAGGTATGTAAAGGGGCACCTGAGATGGCAACAACAGTGATGATTTCAACATGTTATTTATCTGAAAATACCACGTTTGTGGCTGTTACACGTCTTGAAAACGAAAAAGAAAGAAAACCATGAACCAAACTATATACAACTCAAACCCGGACCCATACCAACCCTGTCTGCACCCCCAGCCCACTCTCAAATCAGTCACACCCACCCATGCTTACATCCCTAGACCTGCCACCTCTAACCCCTAACCCTATCCCCAAACTAGCCACCTCTATTCCATACCCTCAGAGCCACCCGCTAATCCCCACTCTAGACCTGGCACCGCCAATTTCAACCCAGACATGCCAGACCAATCAAATCAACACAATTTTGCAAAATACAACATAAAGGTTACATATAAACATATGCATACAAATAGATAGATAGATAGAGACAACGGGAAGACGACAAGGTGGGGGTTCGATCATGAGGCATTTTGGAAGGGGGATGTGTGTTTTTGGGTGTGTGTGTGTGTGTAAGAAGATGATGAGGAAGGAAGAAAGGGGTGTTACCATTTGGTTTCAAAACTAGTTTTGTTCATGAAAGCAATAGGGACTTTTAGGATGAATGGGCTGTCTGGTGACAACAACAGGATTATTGAAGTTGGTATTTGATAAAGGATAAACCGAAAATTTATTATCTTTTTTAAATCTGATAGGTGGGTCAATATAATTTCTGAAGCTCTGGGTATCCTTGAAATTGGTCCAAACAATAGAGGATGTCTATGTTATTACCCCACAGCTAAATCAACCATCAAATCCACCTTGTTTCCCGTCAAATTGTCTGATTCGCTAAAACCAAAAAAGTAAACTATCGGCATTGTTCCAGGAGAACTAAGCAAGCTACACTAAAATAAAAGCTAAACCATAGTTCCTTCACTGGAAGAACCCCACGTGAACCTAATGATATGGATTTTGAGTACAAAAATACTAAGAAAACTCTTATCCTATAAGCTGGTGAAGACTTGTACTGAAAGCTCGTGCAGTGCGTGACATTATCTGTTGGCAGGAATGAAGCTCACTGTACTGCAGCCTTGTTTCCCAACTAAAATTGGGGGAGATTATGATGAGCTACTACTCCTTAAGTTTTTGTGAATGGGTCCATCCCAGGGACAACATTTTGTAGATATATAATAATGTCAACAAGATCAACATCTCCACTTCTCAAAGAGCCTGAGACGCTATTAGGGCCACAGTTTCTGCCAAGAAGATCAATAATTTTTCCATCCTCTTTCTTGGCTGAAGCCATCATGAATCAACTGGTTCATTAGATGGACATCAAAATACACCAGCTACAAACCTTCTAAAATTGAGAAATTCACAACAAATAGAAAAAACTTCTCCTGCACAGACACTATCCGTACTACATACCTAATGCCTGTGCTGATATATGAACAAGCTGCAAGGCTTTGGAATTTGCCTCATTTTTCAGTCTACTTTTGGATCATCCAAGGTTGGTTTATACAAAGAGCTCACTATTATCTTTTTGTTAGAGTAATCTAGTATATTAGCATTAGGGGTAGATTGGTCATTTATATTACTATGTTGCCTTAGTATAATTCGCTTGTAATACAGAAATGGTTTAAACTTAATCAATATATTTTTCCTCTTTCATTGATAAACATCAACATGGTATCAGATATGGTTTACAAAATTTTCTTCACTCATCTGTGACTTAGGCTTCTTAGTGATCATGATTCTGCTCTCTTCCTTCGATCCACTTCTTCTGGTTTCATACTTTTATTACTTTATGTGGATGACATGATTATAACAAGTGATGACAATGCTGGAGTTCAGTTGTTGAAAATTCAATTACAAGATTATTTTGAGATGAAAGATTTTGATCAGCTTCGATATTTCTTAGGGATTGAGGTTGCTTCCTCTCCCAAGGGTTATCTTCTTTCTCAGTCAAAATATGTCTCAGATGTTATTCAGCGAGCTGGCTCATTGGATACTCGAACTGTTGACACACCCTTGGAGCTTAATATTCGTTATACTTCCTCTGATGGTTTTCTTCTGGCTGATCCTACTTTATATCGTACTATTGTTGGGAGTTTAGTGTATCTTACTGTTACTCGTCCAGATATTACTTATGCGGTTTATGTGGTTAGTTAATTTGTTGCTACTCCTACCACACATCACTAGTCTACTATTCTTCAAATTCTTCGATATCTACGGGGTACGTTACATCAGAGTTTATTATTTTCTTCTTCATCGTCTCTGGAGCTCCGTGCTTACTCTGATGCAGACTGGGCTGGTGACTTTATGGATCGCAAATCCACCACTGTTTTTTGTCTCTTTCTTGATGATTCTTTTATTTCTTGGAAAAGCAAGAAACAAACTGTTATAGCTCGCTCTTCTGCTGAAGCTGAGTATCGTGCTATGGCATTTACCATAGCAGAGATAGTTTGGTTGCGTTGGTTGCTTGCTGATCTTGGCATTTCCTTTACTACTCCTACTCCTATGTATTGTGATAACGCCAATGCTATCCAGATTGCTCACAACTTAGTGTTTCATGAGTGCACCAACATATAGAAATTAATTGTCACTTTGTGCGCCATCATCTTCAGTTGAGCACGGTCTCTCTCCCATATCTTCCTTCTACTATGCAGTTGGCTGATTTTTTATCAAATCCCACACTATTGCTCGCTTTCGTTTTTTCCTTGGCAAACTCTTGATGTTAGATGCTCTCACATCATGAGTTTGAAGGGGGATGTTAGAGTAATCTAGTATATTAGTATTAGGGGTAGATTAGTCATTTATATTACTATGTTGCCCTAGTATAAATTCGCTTGTAATACAGATATGGTTTACACTTAATCAATATCTTTTTCCTCTTTCATTGATAAACATCAACATTTTTAAACACATACCAAGTTCTTCCAATGTGATATGATTTCGGCAATAAAATTACCTTATATTGGAGAGATTGATACTAAGTAGATATATTTGACGCCTAATGAAGGAAAGCTGACTGGAACGTTACCACACAATGGGTGTGAAACTATTACCTACCAAAAAGGAAAAAGCAAAGAGAGAGAGAGAGAGAGAGAGAAAGAGAGAGTTGGCCGAAGCTCTGAGCCAGGCTTGGAGTGGTGCAAATCCAAAGCATTTTTCACTTGATTAGAGCCAAATCAGACTTAGGACTTGATTTCCACTATCCCTTTTGCAACATACTGACTAAGCCAAAGAACGACCACAAAGGAAAACACCACCAGCATTCCTCTTGAAGACCCCAAAAAATTAAGACAGGATAGTGATTGAACCGACAGATAGCATCCGTCCAATCAATTACCTAATTTAGCTACAATAGCTACCCGTGCCACCAATTAGTTCCTTTGTTCACAGCACAAGCTGGCCTAGTCTGAACCATTCATGACTAAGTTTGCATCATAGATAAATCGTACACAATATATTTTTCATGAAATGGAAAGATTCACATACACAGTTGTCTAAGCCCTGGAAAACTGATTTCCATCTCCAGAAAGAATTTTCCCGTTTGGCAGCTCAATATCAATTTAGGAATTGTATGCTCAGCAAGAAGGATGGTCCAAGATCTCATTGAAAACCTTGATTGATAAATAAAATAAACAATGAGAAAAAAGAAGAAAGTATTACAATGGCTAAGAGTTTGCCAAAGTATTACAACAGCTAAGAGTTTGCCTACAACATAATAATAAAAGAAGCAAATTGAAACCCTTTTACAGTAGTGCAACACAATACTAGAAAGTGATTAAATTATCTCTAATACTAAAATGTTTTAACACCCCCATCAAACTTGTGATGTGATAGGAGAAACATCAAGAGTTAGCCGAGAAGAAAGCGAAAGCATAAATTGGTGTGAGAGTTATTAAGAAATTTAACAATTGTATAGTAAAAAGAAGATAGGGAAGAGAAATAGTGTCTACCTGAAGATGATGACACACAAAATAACAATTAATCTCAATGTCATTTGTACGCTCATAGAACACTAAATTGTGGCTCGATCTAAATTGCATTCGTGTTGTCACAATACATAGGACTAGGAAAAGACACAAAGATGTCAATATTAGCAAGTAAACCAGCACAACAAGATTATCTCAGTTGTGGTGGAAGCTATCCAAGAATATCTAGCAAGACCGAGCAATCACAATTTGCTTTTTGTTCTTCTAGTAAATAAGGGCATCACCAAGAAAAAGGGAGAATCGAATGGTAGACTTGCGATCTATAGAGTTTTCAACCCAATCAGCATTGAAGTAAGCTCAAAGTTCCAATGAGGAAGAACAAGAAAATAAGGGACTTGGATGCAATGTAACCTAAAGATACCGAAGAATACGAAGAACATCATCCCAGTGAAAAATGTTAGGCAAGGCAATAAACTGACTAACATTGAACATACGAGATGTCTGGACAAGTAATTGTAAGATATACCAGACTTCCAACAATAGTGCGATATAGTTTAAGATCAGGCAATGGAGTGTCATCAGAAGAAAAGTAACGAGCATTAAGCTCTAAAGGCGTCTCAACCATCTGGGAATATGATAAATGGGTCATTTTATAATATTTGAGGCATCAA